GTACTGCGATTATAGGCATGCACCACGGGGCCCAGTTTATGTCATCTTTTTAGTGCTGCCTTGGTGGGTGTTATTTACTGTGTGCTATGTGCATGCTGGCTTCCGCTTGCAGCACAACCGCGAGAGACTCATATACATGAGCTCAGGTCCACCCTCCCAGGCACTCCTTGCCTGGCCCCACAAGCAGCTGGGACAATTTGGCTGTGGGGGACTAGGACCCAGCCACGCCTTCCTGTCCCTCTGCCAGGTAAGAATGGGACTGCCCAGGCCCTACTCACGGGTTCCAGCCTAGATCTGCTGGATTGATGTAGAGGATGCCAGCTCTGGAGACAGTGGCCGGAGTCGCTGTCCTCAGGTGGCTGATCTCGAACACTAGCCTCATGGTTCGATTTAAGGGGATGCGCTCATTGCTGGCCAGGGTGAGGACCTAGGGGACAGCAAGTCCACAGGAGGCAGCAGTAGGCACACACCATCCCAACAGAGTCCCAGACCCAGGAGAAGCTGCTGGGGAGGCCTGGCCCAGCTTCCGTACACTTAGTGTCTCTCAGCTATCCTGGCCTCTGGGTCCCCTCTACCCTGAACCAGTGCCAGGACCACGCAGGCAGGTCTAGACCTGCGCACCATCCAGCGCCATATGACAGCCCTCCCTTCCCTAGCAGGTCATTTGTGCTGGCTCTGTCCTCCCCAAAGTGTGGCCTGTGGGAAGCCCTAGGATCCTGGCCCCCACAGCCCTGGCTCCCCCTGACAGTGTCTCTGGGGGTCAGTGTGGAGCCCAGGAGTTTGCATACTTTGTTGTCATCCATGACAGTGTTGAGAGACTCGATCCACATGGGGTCAATGTCCCCGTCCAGCACAATCCACTTGGGGCCGTCGTGAGTGATGTTGGCCAGGTCCCGCATGATAGTGGAGAAGAGGCCTGTGAGGAGCCGGCCAGCATCACAGGTGGCCGCCTCAGAAGAGCGCGGCACACCAGGCGCTCTGAGATTTGCACGGCTGCCCAGACAAACCCGACCCTAGCCTTGCCTGCTTTCTTATAGGTGGCCTGTCCCCTAGAGGGACAGCAGAGGCCCTCGGACAGGTGGTGACAGGCTCATTTCCCTCCCTTCTGCCTTGGTGGTCACGGCCACCTCCTTTGTGTTCTGCGTGTCCCGCTCTGCCCTGTCTCCCCTGACGCCGTGTCCCTCCCCTCTCTGTCCCTCTCCTGTGGCTCCAGTCTGTCTCAGTTCTTCCAGGAGGCTCCACAACCCACACAGAGCATCACCCATGCTCGGCACTCCACTCTGCATTCATTCATTCCCGCTTTCATTCATTCATTCACTCACTCAAGGGGCAGCTGAGCATTCTCCATGGGTCAGGAATGGAGTGGAGGGGGGCTTGGGGTACAAAGCCCAGGACCAGCAACGCCCCATCACCCCTCTAGATCTTGAGTCCCAGTGGGCGAGAAGTTAGATACAGGAAAGTCCAAGGGGCTGCAGCTTTGGAAGGGCCTGTGTGGCACGCGGCAGGTCCCCAGTCAGGGCCACACCCTGCCCCTTCCTCCAGTCGGTCCTTGATCCCGGCCTCCTCCCTCCCCAGTTCATAAGCACAAACCTGATCCGCCACTTCTGGAGAAGGGGACTCCTTTCCCAGAGCCCCACCCCAGGGGCTCCTTCCCGCCCCAGGGCGTCCGGCCCCTCCCCTGGGCCCACAGGTCTCAGGATCCCTTCCGAAGGCTCCTCCCTTCCTTCTCTGCCTGGGGGCGTCCTTTGAGCATCGCCATCTTTAGGTGCTAGTGTGCACATGCGTGTTCCCCTGCCTGGGCCGAACCTGCCCCGGGCCCTCTCCAGGGAGCTGGGCAGAGTCTTGGGTGAAGTCAGTGCCCTGAGCACGGCACTGCCCCGGGGCTCTCTCCACTCTCTAGCCCTGCTCCTTACCGTCTTTCCATTCCCTGGTTGCCGGGTTGATGATCCCAAAGAGTTCATCACAGGTGACGGCCTTGGGGTCCAGGTCCACTGCCACTGGCTTCCTCTTCAGGTTCTGGTAGGTCTTGTTGAGGGACTTGAGGACCTGGCAAGGGTGGAGGCTGTTCACGTGTGATTCGACATCCCAGGGCTGTGCTCTGTCTGTTCGGGGTGGCCCTGCTTCCCCCAGCTATGGCCGAGGCCAAGATGGCTGGCAGATCAGAAGTGGATTGTTCACTCTGCAGCCAGAGTGCTCAGGAGATGCCGGGATCCAGAAATACCCATATTTGTTTCTTCCTTGTAATACAAGTTGTGCAAGCTCATTGAAACAAACAAACAAACAAACAAACAAATAACTCAATGTAAGAGCCAGGTGTAGTGGGGGACACCTATAATACCAGTACACTGGGAGGCTGAGGCAGGAGGACCAAATATTAGAGCCCAGCCTGGGCAATTTAGTGACTTAGTGAGACCTTGTCTCAAAATAAAACAAAATTCATTATGGGGATGTAGCTCAATAGGAAAGCCCTGGGTTCAAGTTCCCAGTACTGCAAAACAAACAAAAAACCAAAATAAAAGAAAAAAGGATGAGGAAAGAAAACTACCCATAATTCCTCTCCCCAAGAAAATGAGTTTTAAGGATGTTTGAGGATATTCTGAGTGGGCCTGTGCTCATGCTGCTTTTTAGAAAACAGGCCCACAGTTTCTGCCTTTCGAAGTCCCTTGCTGTGAGGTCCCTGCATGTTCTTGTTTTGTTTTGTTTTTTCTGGTACCGGGAATCAAACTCATGATCTTGCGCTTGCCAGGCAGGCACTGTGCCGCTGAACTAAATCCCCAGCCCCACCCCTGCATGTTCTTAATCTCTGGAAACCATTTTCAACAGCACAGTTGTTGACATGCTGGGCATCCTGCTGAAGACCTGGCTGGCTTAGAATTTCCACTCTTACAGATGTCCGTGATACCACTGTCACCCTCTGCTTTTCGCCATGGCCCAGTGAATGGCAGGGGACAGGAGTTGCACTGCAGGGCAGTAGCTGACTGGTGTCCAGGGGGACAGGAAACGAGAGAACATGCAGGAGGCTCTGCAGTGGGACCAGCGCCCGCCCGTGTGTGCTCCTCTCCTGCGTCCCACTCTGGACACCCTTCCGGCTGGGTCCGCAGTGTGCAACTGTGCTAGCTCCCTGCGGGTGAGGACGGGACGCACCTGGGACTTGCCGCTGCCTGCGTTCCCAATGACGAACACAGAGTGCCGGACCTGCAGCAGCTCCTCGAGCTGCACGACCTTCAGCACAAAACTGTCCTCCGCCTGCAGCTTGAGCTCCACGATACTCTGCTTGATGATCTGAGGATGTGGGCAAGGTGGGGGCGCAAAGACAGGACCATCTTTTGTGGCGGGAGGGGGCTTCCGGCATCGTGAAGGTGATGACACAAGATGAGGCACATCCAGCGAGGACCTGCCTGCTGCCTGCGAGCTCTGCTACCAATGCTTCCTGAGCCCACACTGCCGGGAGCCCCTCTCCAGCTCCCAAGTGACTCCAGTGCTGAGAGCGTGCAGCCTGGCTGAGAGGCAGCCGGTGGCCCCTGAGGGCCTGACCGTGCGGCCCTCTCAGGCTGGTGGAGTTGACCACCAACCCCAACGTTGCCCTTGCCAGGTAGCCAGTGATCCAGCGCACGTGGGAGAAAGGGTCCTAGGTGGGAAAGGGTCCGCAGCTGGGCAGGAGTCACAGGATGGGTACGGGGTCCAGTGGTAGCTACCTACTTTCTCAAAATTCAAGTCTCGCTTTCGAGGCACGTCCAGAGCTGGAAACAGGTCCCCGATAAGGCCCATAAACACAGGCAGGTCATCGGTCACGATCTTGGGGATGTTGAAGTCCCTTAGCGCCCTCATGAGCACCTGGTCTTCGGCCCTGGTAGGGTCCCCCCTCTTGAGGGAGCCGGCCACCACCAGCACGGACTTGATGGCCCGCAAGCCCCAGTCGTAATGATCCTGTGGGGCGTGGGTGGACGTGAATGCCCTTGGCCCTGAGACCTGTGGACCCCCCACCTTCCCGCTGCTGGCTCTGAGCTGCAGGAGCCAGTGAGCCGCACCTGCTTGGAGAGCAGCTCTTTGCACAGGGTGTAGAGTGTGATGAACTTCCTGGCCAGCAGGCGGGCTTCCAGGAAGCCCTCGGCCACCAGCATGATCTCGCAGATCAGCTCGAAGTCGGGGACCACCATGGCACAGGGCCTGGGGAGATCATGGCTGGCTGTGGGCTTCCCCTCACCCGCCCCACCTGCCCCTCTTTACCTGGACAGCACCTGTGCCCTGCCAGGTGGCCCACAGTGCCAGGCCCACCTTCTGGGGGTGTGGAGCTGGGTTTCAGCTGCCACCGCCCCAGCACACCTGTCCCTCCACGCCACCCGCTCAGCGCCACACTCTCCTCTCCTTCAGTCCTTGTAGGAGGAGCAGGCTTTGTCCCTCATGGGCACAGGAGGCCCTCAGCTCCTAGCCGCCCTGCCTCCATCTCAGAAGCTGGTCTGTGGTTCCTCCCCGCACCCCGCCTCCAGGGTCAGGGTGCTGTGCGGCCGCCCGAGTCCCCGGCTGTGCACCTGAACAGGGCCTTGAGGTTCTCAGGCAGCTCTGTGCGCCCTGCATAGCCCGGGTTCATGGTGATGAAGATCCCCACGGTGGGGATGAGGCCGATCATCTCGCCCAGGAAGTTAAACACCTTCTTCTTGGCTCGAATCGCATCTTGGACACACTTCACCTGAATATGGTGCACAGACATGGATGCACAGACACGTGGACATGGAGACACAGACACACAGACACGGATATGCCCAACTCCCATGTCACGTCCAGCGTGTGCTGGCCCTGAGTCTCTGTGACCCCTCAGGGTACCGCAGTCCTCCCCTTCCTCTCCTTGGGCCCTGCCAACACCCAGCCTGTCCCCCACTTGTGGGAATTTGTTATCTGTGAGTTTGTCTGCTCCCAACCATAGGGGATGTGATCTGAGATGGGCTTTTGTCTCAGCGGAACTTTGGAGCTGCCCCTCATCCTTGTCCTTGTCCTTGTCCTTGTCCTTGTCTTTGTGAGTAGTATTACACCTCCCAGCTCCTTCCTGCCATTTTCTTCCCTGGAAATGGTCCCTCAGAGGTGAGTTAGCAGCCATCTCTGTGTCAGAGAGTTCTGAGAACACCTGCTCCTCAGAGGTTCAATCCAGAACTGGGAATTTTGCTGTCATTTCCTGTAGAAATCTGCAGGAGATAGCTGCAAATCTCTGAATCACCACTTGGGAGCGCCCAACGCCCATGGTTGAAACCTCTCTCAGCTCCTTGCCTGGGTCTGGTCGGGCTTCCCTGGGCTGGCAACAGGCGGGGACGGGTGGGTGGGGACACCTCCCCCCCCCGCACCAGTTTCACTATCCTCTGCTCCGTGTTTGCACCCACAAACATCCAGTGCCTCCAACAGGCTCCACGTAAGTGTTCTGGGGTTTGCTCGCTGACTCTGTGGTGGGACAGGAGCTGCGGGGTGCGGAGCTGGGAGAGTCCCAGGCCAGGGGCCAGTCCCGCACAGAGGTCGGGAGTTGGCTGCCTGTGTTTCCACCTCCAGCCGCAGGTGGGCCTATTCAGCCTGAGGGGGAGAGCGGAGGGTGCTAGAGTCACGGCACAGAGACTGCCATGGGGACAAACTCCTGGGCACTCACACTGTCACTGATTCAAAGAGTGGTTTGTGTTTTCTTCTGGGGCAGTCAGGGGCTTAAAACTGTTTCCCCTCCCCTCCCCTCTCTTCCCCTCCCCTTCCTTTTCCCTTCTCCCTTCCTTCCTTCCTTCCTTCCTTCTCTTTCTTTCATTTTTCTTTCTCCTTCCTCTCCTCTCTCCCGCCCCCTTTCTTTCTTTCTACTTCCAGAATCTCCACTGTCCTGCGCCTGGGATCGGCTTGGACTCCAGCGGTCTCAGATGACAGGAGCCATCTAACCTTGGGAACAGAACCGCCCCTCGGGTCGTGAGGATTCCTCCAGAGCTAGGAAGCCGGGACTGAGACGGTGACGGCCCAGCCCCCAGCTGACCCTCAGAGCTGGCCTCCTGCCCTCGCCCGCCTCAGCCCCTTCCGGAGCGAGCCCCCACCAGCGGCTGCAGTTGGACTCCTTTCCTGTTTTCTCTCAATCTCCTTTCTTAAGGGCCGGCCTGATCTTCGCCAGCTCCCCCACCATTTTCTCTTACTTTCTAATCAAATCCTTTTCCTGCAAAGATGTGCTTTAGTTTCCATTTCCATTATCACTAAAAGCCCAGGCCTGTGAACCGGTGACCGCCCTCGCAAGTCTGTGTCACCACCCATTTTACAGAGCGGGGCAGGGAGGTGAGAGGACTTGGGGCGTCACCTCGAGGGCCGGGGTCAGGAGCAGCCCCGGCCATTCTGAGTCTTATTACTGTGGGGTGGGGGTGGGGGTCTCGGGGCCCTCGACCTGGCTTCCTTCTCCTTTTAGAATCTCACAGTTGGTCCCTGAACCAGAGGCTGGCCTCAGTTTACTGCAGAGGTCCCAGTGGTTCTCAAGTCTAGCAGGCATGAGGATGCCCAGGCTCTTGTTTAAGATGCAGAAATGCTCATCCAAACACAGAGGCGGGACCCGCACAGGCGAGGGTGACAGCAGTTGGGGAGGCTGATGGAGGGCTCGCTGTCTTCTGAGGACCCCACTCCTGCCTTCCTCAGACTGTCCTCTGCCCTCCTGTGTTCTGCCAGGGTTGTCCTCAAAATACACGGATACATTCCCCACCCCAACCCCGCTAGTCTTTCAGCACCTTTATCTAATTGAGGAACTCCTACGCACCCTGCAGCACCCAACTCCACTGATGCCTGCAGCAGGTCTTATTTCTATAAGACTTATATTGAATTGTTTGGCCTAAACCTGGCTCCATATATCTTATAAGTTTGGCTTAATAGGTTCTCTCTGCATAAGTACGTAAAGTACCTTAACTTGACATATAAGCACACTGCAACCTACGCTTTTTTTTCCTTTTTTTTTTTTTTTTTTTTTGAGCTAGGGTCTTGCTAGCTATATAGTTTTTTTGTGGTGCTAGGCAATTACTCTGCCACTGGAATACAAATTTGACACAGAGTCTCACTAAATTGTTCAGGCTGGCCTCCAAATTGAGATTCTTCTGCCTCAGCCTCCTGAGTACCTGGGTGTGCACCACTTTGCTTGGCTCCTCTGTGTGCTTTTCTTGTTACATAATTTACTGATCCTCAACAAGCTCGTGAAGATTCAGGGGACAATATCCCCACTTTGCAGTTCCTCAGAGGGACTGAGAAACTGCCCCAGGCCTCACAGCTGGTGTGACACCAAGGACGCAGAGACTAATCCAGGCCTGTCCAATCCAAGAGCCAGCCCTCCCAAGCCTGGCCTCTGGTGCTCAGGTCCGACTGGGGGCGGGAGGCAGGACAGGGGCTGTAGGAGGTGAGTGCCACGGTGGGACAGGAGCTAGCTATATAGGTATATAGCTATATAGGGTCTCTCTAGCTATATATAGGCTAGCTTTGAATTTGTAGTGATCCTCCTGCCTCAGCCTCCCAAATGCTGGGATTACAGGTGTGTACTACCATTTCCCAGCCAATCACAAACAGCCAACTACTTAAATAAGACAGACACCAGCTGTAGCCAATCCGATGTCCCTACCTCATGCTGGGGATGCCACTTCCTTTTCTCTGCTCTTGTGGGGGGCTGGAGCATTCTGGACTGTTTTTGGTCTAGGCTACTGCTTGGCTTTAGAACCACAAATAAAGCTAATTAAGATCTGCAATTTGATCTGTTTTAATTTTCTCTTTTCACACCTCAGGAGGAAGTACTATTCCCTCATCTGTGTTTGGTTACACAGGTGCTGCCGAATCTGACTCACAGGGCTTGCTCTCCGTATGCTGAGTGGACGGACGGTTTGGAGGACAGGCAGCGGCTCACTGCCCCCTCCCCGATGTCAGGAGCTGCCTGTGCAGCGCAGCTGGTCACCCGGCCGGAGCAGAGGCTCTGGCAGGCCCTACCTGCACAGCGATCACGGACAGCACCTCCACGGAGATCCGGTTGAACTCGTCAAAGCAGCCCCAGGCCCCAGTCTGCGCCAGGCCCTTGTAGATATTTCCGCAGGACTGCAAAGGGCGGGATGGTGGACAGCGGTCAGGGGACCGGGCGGCCCCGCGCCCTGCACGTCTCTGTCTGTCTTCCATGGCTCCCAGGTGGGGTAAAGGTCAGGTTTGAGGACAGCGAGGGGCTTGGGGAACTGGCAGACAGGACCTGGGGGTCCCAGCAGGACTGAGTGCCAGGGACAGTGCCCTTCCGGGGATCCCACTGTCCCAGATCTCGCAGGGGGCTCCGGGTGTGTGCCCTAACCCAGAGGCTCAGACAAGTGCATCCAGACAAATCCCACCCTTGAGCTTTTCCTGCACGTGTGGGGAGGGTGTCCCTCAGAGGCAGGGGCGGAAGGCTTTTTTCTGTGTCTGTGTCACTCTGGCTCCAGCTCCTTATCCAGATGATTCTCCAGCACTTACCTGCGAGTTCCAAGTGGATTAAATCCCTTCCAGGGGCATTGACTTCAGATTCCACTTGTCTGGAACCCGGGACACTGGTATAGACGGTTTGACCTTGACAGTCACTAAGGGCTATGGGCCTCGTCCTCAGCCCCGGAGGACGCCCTCTCAGACACAGATGGGGAGGGGACTCCTGTGGGCCAGGATCCTGAACTTGAAGACCATCCCTGACTTCCCCATTCTGTGTGCCTGGACCACTGGGTCCCCTTCTCCCATTGGCCCTGTCAGCACTGACGAGGTCCTGGTCCTGCAGTCCCTGTGGCAGAGGGGATGCCTCCCTGCCCCTGCTTTTCCCAGGGCCCCACCCTGAGCTGGAAGATCTCGAACTCAGGACTTCGGACTCTCACCCCGGGGCAATCTTGCCTCCAGGATCAGGGGTGGGACATGTGGGCTGGGGTGTCTTCATACAGGCCACAGCAGGGGCAGCGGCAGCACACGGGGGTCCTCAGGTCCCCTGGGGCCTCCTCCCAGGCTCTCCTGGGACAGAGCTCTTACGTCCTTGGCAGGGCCATGGCCGTGTACCTTGTAGTCCATCTGTTCAGAGCAGTTGAAGACGTACACCATAGTGCCCAGGGCTCTACCCAGGTCCTTGGTCGTTTCTGTCTTGCCAGTGCCAGCAGGGCCCGCGGGGGCTCCGCCCATGATCAAGTGGAGGGACTGGGTCAACGTGATGTAGCACCTGCCAGGGAGCCCTGATCACTTTGGGTCCCACGACACCCACCCGTCTGCCTCCATTTCCTGTGGTTTCGCTTAATGGAGGAAGTATGATGCCTGCCCAGCCTTGGGGAGGGAGGGAGATGGCAGGAAAGACCCTGGCCATGATCAAGGGACAAACACCATGGTAGGGTGAGTACGTGGGGGCCTGGCCTGCCTGTAGCTGAGGGAAGAGGGTACCACTGCCAAGACATGTATCCTTGGCTAAGTGTGGTGGTACATGCCTGTAATCCCAGGTACTCAGGAGGATGGGGCAGGAGGATCTCTTTGAGCCCGAGGCCAGCCTGGGCTACATGTTGAGTTCAAGTCCAACCTGAACTACATAGCAAGACTCTGTCTCAAAAAAAAAAAAAAAAAACAACCAAAAAAACCAAAAACCAAAAAACAACTTTCTTAACAATAACCTACATGTGCAAGAATTACTTGGTCGCTTCTGATCTGAGCCTTTTTTTGTTTGTTTTTGTGGTGCTAGGCAATTACTCTACCACTGGAATACACCCTCATCCCATTTTATTTTATTTTGACACAGAGTCTCACTAAATTGCTCAGGCTGGCCTCCAAATTGAGATCCTTCTGCCTCAGCCTCCTGAGACCTGGGTGTGCACCACTTTGCTTGGCTCCTCTGTGTGCTTTTCTTGTTACATAAGTTACTGATCCTCAACAAGCTCGTGAAGACTCAGGGAACAATATCCCTACTCTGAAGTTCTTCAGAGGATTGAGAAATTGCCCCAGGCCTCACAGCTGGTGTGACACCAAGGAGCAGAGACTAATCCTGGGCACCTGGCTGGTGGCAGGCTGGCGCCTGAGAGCAGGCCTGCCCAATCCAAGAGCCGGCCCTCCAGGCCTGGCCGCTGGTGCTCAGGTCCGACCGGGGGCGGGAGACAGGACAGGGGCTGCAGGAGGTGGGTGCCGCGGCCGGACAGGAGGGGCGTGCATGGGGCCTCCCGCACCTGTCTGTGAGAGGCGTGATGACCAACCGCGGCGTATTGCCCAGGTACTCGTAGGAGTACTGGATCTGGGCGTCGCAGATGTTGGCGAAGCAGTGCTTCTTCTCCTCGTCCCAGCGGTGCCGCAGCTGCGATTGCCAGGTGAAGGCCTGCGCGCTCTCCACCTGCGGGAGCCGGGAGGGGGCGGCTGTGGGCCGAGCGATTCAACAGCCAGAGCGGGGCGCCGCCCTGACCTGTTTCCCTCCTCCAGCGCCCTCGGTGGAGTCTCACTGAGGCACGGGCACTCCCGGCTGCACCCTAACCTGACAGAGCGAGGGGCCGGGAACAGCTGCTGCCCGCAGGGAGGTTCCCCCCGCCCCCCGCCCAGACACACGTCCCCCGCCCCGCCCCTCCGGACCGTGCCTTGGCGGTGATCATCTTGGCCACCACGTCCCGCGCGTGCACGTCGATGGTGCAGATGGTCATGATCTTCATCCTGTCGCCCGCGCTGAGGTTCCCAATGAGCAGTGTGATGAGCACATTGAGCTGGCTGATCTGGCGGAGAGAAGGCGGGACCTTCACTAAAATCCCGGATCGCTGGACCCAGCACCCCGGCCACCGGCTCCCTGCGGAGATCGTGGTTGTGTGGGAAGGCTGCCTTACACTTGTTGCTCAGAATGAAGAAGAGGGGAAAGTTCTCCCCATCACCCCCATTGGGGGTGGAATACTATAAAGCCATTAAAAATGACACGGAAGACAATGAAAAACTAGGGGAAGAGGGAGATATTAAAACATCTGATTTTAAAGCTGCACAAGATGCTGTGTGTATTTTTACATATAAATCATTCACATATTAGAAGGCTACATAAAAATTGTTGGTAGTGATTATATCTGGGCAGTGGGATCCCAGACAGCTTTTCCTCCTTTTATTTAAAAATTGTCATTGATGCAGGGCATGGTGATGTACACCTGTAATCCCAGCCCTCAGGAGGCTGAGACAAAAGGTTCAAGGCCAGCCTGGGCTACATAGTAAGACCCTATGTCAAAACAAAACAAAACAAAACAAAACAAAACAAAACAAAACA